GTGGCATCCTATGGGTCGTCCAGAGTATCGACCTCTGGCGAGTCAGCCAGCCCCACTTTGAGGGCGCCATGAAGTACAGCGATCGCCACCAAAAAATAAAGAATTCGACCAGCCACGACTAGGTGCCACACAGCTCGCGACGACTCGTCGACGCTGCGCTCACTCGTGCCGCCGAGGCTATGCCACGCTGCGCCGCCTGCGAGCTCGAGTGCCCGCTTGCAGCCTTCTCCGCGATGCAGCGAAAAAAGGCGGAGCTCGCCCGCTGCAAGCGCTGCCTGCGAGACGGCCCGGCCGAGACTATGCGGCGGCACGTGCTCGCGGCGGAGCCGCACGTCACGTGGGCGGCGCAGCTCGTCTCTTGCGTCCGTGAGGTGCCATCGCGAGCCCAGCTCTTTGCGGCGGCCGACGGCAACAGCGACGCCGACTGGCGCTGGGCGCGTGGCACGCGCGGCCTCGGCAACCAGAGCCCGACAGCGGGGCTCATGCCACCGTCCGACTCAGAGGAGAGCGACTCAGAGGAGAGCGAAGCCGATGCGCTGGGTGAAGCGATGGCTCTGCTGCAGCACGACCTCTCTCTCGCCAGCCGGGGCGCCCCGAGCCCGCAGGGCGCGGCATGGGGCGAGGCAGCCGGCTGTAGCCTACTCGAGCGTGGCTCGGTCAACCGCGGCGAGGATGGCAGCGAGGCCGCAGCGGCGGCAAAACCTTCGCTGTACGTCTGCCCGTTATCCTCCTCCTCGGTGCGAGTGTCAATTCGTATCTGTCGAGCTGCGAGTCGAGATTCTGGGTGAAAAAACGCATCTAAATGTGCGGCGAGACACACCTTGTCACGGCATGTTGAGGCGGCACTAAAGCGGGACCCGCTGTGCCCGATCGTGCGGAAAGCCGCGCAGCAATGGACCGAGGAAGATGAGAACCCGCCTAGAGCGACAATGGCGCACTTGCTTAGCGGCGCCTGCCCGGGGAATAGGGAGCAGGCCAGATGGTTCCTCAGAGTAGCGCGAGCGCAGACGGGGACGGCGATCAGCAAAGTAGCGCAGGCGGCACCCGACTCCAAGGATACGCTGAAGACGCTGAGAATAGCGCATGTCGCTGCGCTGAAGGGCTCACGCTATAGGGTGCTGGATGAGGACGGGTACGATGCACTAGCACCAGCCGTCGGGGGGGTGTTGCCGGCGCTGGTAGATGATCTCCCGGAGAAGAGTCGGAGGGACCTTGGCGCCGGGGTCACGAGGAACTTGCAAGTCGTGGCCGAGGCGGCGACGGGAGCGGTGCAGAGGTGGATCCAGCTCAATGATGAGGCTACGGCGCGCATAATGAAGAGAGAGGAACACATCGAGTGGCTGAGGAAGCTCTTCGCTGGGTGGAAGGAGGCCCGGCCAGCCTTGAGGGAGTCGCGGAGGAGGAGGGATAATGGAGGTAACGTGGGAAAGCGCCAACAGCCAGTGGGACGAACGAGGGCCGCGACGGCGGCTCAAGCGGGAGGGAGCGGAGACGGTGGGCAGAGAGCGAAGTGGGTGAGACTGATGATGCTCCTTCGACTTAGGGAGCGGTTCAGATGCTGGGCGGGCTTCAGGCTGGTGCTCACGCGAACAGGAATCGACGCGATGTGCAAAGCATACAAGAAGGGGAGAGGGAAGAGGAGAGACGCCGGTGAGGACGAAGCAGAAACTAGCGCAGACGAGAG